AGGAGGAAAGGAGAGGAAGGGAACGCGGCACGCTGTCTGTGCAAAACCAACACCACAAGATGGCTGGGGAACAAAAACTTACATAATGGTCATCACCCAGGGGTGGGTGTGGGGAAACAGGAAGTACCGATACCGCTACTCCCTGGACCTCTCCTGGGGTGCGTTCTGACCGGAACTTCGATGCCAATCCAGCAGTGGCGACGAGGGCCTGCCAGGAGGCCCGAAACAGGAAAAACGAGGAAAGGGTAGAGGTATGGGTACCTTTTCCTCATCTCCAGGCCCCGCCCCGCCACTCTTCGGTGGCAACTGATGGGAGCCTCACGTACCATCTTGTCGAATCTTGCGAATGGACGATCATCGACGCTCAATCGAATCGACGCTAAGTCGACGCTAATCGACGCTAGCCGACGCTAAATCGGCGCTATCTTCTCGACTCCCAGACGCTAATCGACGCTAGTCGACGCCAAAGACAGAATTGCGAGGGTACACAAAACTCCCACGGCTTGCTACCGAACCCACGTGCGACCGTCACTGTTACCGCTGCCCGAAGGGGGTGCGTTCTGAGAGATCGGCAGCTCCGAAAAAACAGAGCGGCCAGTTCCTGCAGTAGGGGCTCGACCACAAGAAGCCTTCCACAAGAAACCCAACCCTGAGACTCCAGGGTGTCCGCCGATGATTGGCGTGGGCACGTCGCGATCTCCATGGCAAAACCATCGAAGCCCAAAAATCCCAGGGCACCCTGGAGGCAAGCAGGGCGTTTCTTGGCATGGGCCCCCACTGCAAGGATCGAGAGCGACTCGGGACGAAGAGCCTACCCCGCCTCTCGGGGCGCACGAGGCAGCTTCTTGGAAGCACGGACCAGCTTCGCAGAAACGAGCCAGCCTTAGGTCGGGCATGTCCTTCTACAGAGGAATTTTGGACGAACCATAAAAACAGTCAAGTAATAATCAAAAATAATCAAAAACATTCGAGATAGTCAAAAGATCGTCCCCAGACTATATGTTTAGTATTTTTTGCTATCCCCCCTGTAGAGGGAGGGGCATGCCCGACCTAAAGCCAGCCGCTTCTGTGAAACACGCCAGTGACAGCGTCTGAGAAGCAACCGCCAGCTTCTCAGGACAGGCGCCCGCACCTTCTGACAGGGAGGGGGGTGCTTCTCGGAATCCCTCCCCCCTCCTACCGAACCCCCTCTGCGCGCGGCAGCAATCGAAATGCGGCCACGTGGGTCAAGAGCACGGGTCAGGCCTCAGCTGAATCGACTCGCGCAATCGGAAGGGATCGGAGACACGGTGAATCGACAGCGGATAATCCCGTATCGGATCAACATTGATAGAGGAACAAACAGCGGCATAAACAGAAACTTTTGGCGCTCCGCGCGGATCTCTCGGATCTTCGCTGGACCCCCCCTCCCTGGCGCGCGGAGCGCGCCAGTGGCGGCGCCGGAGGCGCCGCCAGGGGGGTCCCAGCACAGATCCAAGAAGTCCGCGCGGAGCGCCCGAAAATCATCTTTATGGCGCTGTCTTTTCTTTGGCATCGGATCGCCACGCCCGGCTGAGGCTAACCCCCGGCCGATGCTGGCAAATGCGGAAGAGGACCAGGGACACACAAATAAAGGGACGCAAATCCCAGGATGATTCCGTATATCTTCACGTGCTTTCTGGATGCTCGTCTTCCCCCCCCCCCACTTCCCATATTTTCCCATATTTTCCGGGGGATCGGCGATTACCTGTGTGTGTGCTTCTTCCCCTCCCACCTGAAGTTCAACCGAATGGAATCCGAAGCGCGGCCCCGGGCGGGGAAGCGAAACAGCTCAACGAGGGGCTACGGCTACGGCTACGGCTCCGCACTCGTGGCGCCATGATGGCGCGGCGGAGGGGGGACCGAGGCGCCTGCTGAGGTACGCGCGTGTGGAACAATGTGGAATGCTGCATGGGAGGAAGAGGAGGAGGAGGAGGAGGACCGGCAGTATCACTGCTGAACATACGTGTCCTGGAAGTCGTCCCACACTGGCGTGGTAGCGACATGGGGCCAATCCACATGCCCACAACAATCCATGACCAATTTACGTAAATCATCTATCCATCGAGTTTTTTGGCTCAACGAGGGGCTCGCGGGCAACCTAACGAGCCGGTACGCCGAAGGTCCGACAGGGCTTCCCTGGAGTGGTGCACGAGCAAGGACCAGTTCTGTAGGGGGGGAGCCCCAGCACGCAAGGCATAGGCTCCGAGCACAGGATCGTCTGCACCATTAATGTAACACCCGAATGGATGTTCTCGTCGAGGCGTGCGCAGGGTGCTCGTAGATCTACGAACGCTCAATTTCCTGAATGCGACGAACAAATACATGTTGGGTTACATTGGTTCTGTAGTCGATCCCCTACTCGAAGGTGTTGTCCTCCACTAAAATCTTCTATTGTTAACCCTAGCGCCGGCTGCGCAGTTGAAGAGGGAGATCAGCACTCCCGACAGGCGCTTCGGGGCAATCTTTTCGCCCACTTACTCTACTACACTTGCAATGCCAAATCAACTCTCAGGGGCTAAAAAGGGGGTGCACGCACGCACTCACGCTCGCACGCTCACGCACACGCCCACACTTTTTTGGTCGGCGGGTCGGGAGCGGGCCCCTTCCGGTTAAGAGCTAGGCGGGGCGCGCGAAGCCCTAATTGGGGAGACAGACACGCACACACAGGCACACACACACAAACACACACACACACAAACACACACAAACACACATACATACACACATAGACACACTGACACAGGCACACACACAAACACTTGTTTTGTTCGCGAAAGTCACGGTCCAACCGCGCGCCGTCCAGAAGCGAAGCAGCCCGGCCAAGATCTAAATTAGGCACCAAGTAAGGCACACGCACGCACACACACACACACACACACAGACACACGGACACACACACACACACACACACACACGCTCAACTCCAAGGATTCCCTGATTGCTCGTAATGTTCTGGACTTTCGTCTTCCACCCCACGTACCATACTTTCCAACAAACATGTGTATATGCATGTTGTTAATATTCCTTGGAAATCGCTAATGGTTTTTGTCTGTGTGCCTGTTCTCCCTTCTTGAAGAATATTAGCTCTAAAAACTTGTTAGGCTTCACTCAACAGGCCATGGACTGCCCACGCCACTTCTGTTTGGCTTGGCACAACTTTGCGCGCGCGAGTGAGCATTCGAAGACCACCGTCGGCCGGCTCAGCGCAAACAGCACCAATCAGCCCGACGTGTCACGCCAACGCTCATGTCAAAACAGAACGAACAACTACGTACCATCTGCCAGCGATGACTCGGAATAGGACAAGGCTATGCGGGTGAAGCAAGCCTGTTCGGCATGAGAATGGTAGACTTAGGTCGGGCATGTCCCCCTACAGGCGGATGTTGGGTGGAACATATAAAATTGTCAGAACATACTCCCCAAATGCTCAAAAATAGTCAAACAATCGTCCCCAGACTACTTTTTGACTATTTTTGAATAGTCCTCCTGTATAGTAGAGGGACACGCCCGATTTAATGGTAGAGCTGGGCATGATCGGGCATGGCCTGGGCTGGACTGGACCGTGCTGGACCGACTGGGCTGGCCGCACCGGAGCGGGCCTGACAAGTCTGGAACTACGGCAGGTTAGCGTCGTGTCGACCCAAGCGCTGGTTCCACTTGTAGAGGAAAGAGAACTATGCACATGCACCGATTCTGGCCAGGCCCATCCTGAGCCCAGGATCGGTGCATACGCCCTCCTACCTTGGCTAGGAAGGTATATGCACCGATCCTGGGTCAAGACTGGGCCTTGCCAGGATCGGTGCATGTGCATAGTTCCCTTCGCCCGAACTTGAACGATCGGCCCTTTCGAAAAGGCCAGATCGCTAAGGATGGGCCGAGTTTTGGCCACAGGTGGCCCGCCGCCCGCCGCCTGCCGTGCGAGACGCAAGTGTCAGAACCTGCTCCAGAACCTTCCCGCTGACCGTCGGTGGCGCGCCCGCGGGAGGGCGAAGCGAGAAGGGGCGGACCTCCTCAGAAGGCTCCGAAAGCCTCGGGCCTTCTGAGAAGTCTTTGTCTGACCCGTGCACGTGGACGCAGGGCACCTTTCAGAAAGCCGGAGGCCTTCTGAGAAGTCCCGCCGCCCTCTGAGAAGGCGCTCCCCTTCTCCTCGCAGCCGCCCCGCGGCCGCCGCCGAGGACGCCGAGGAGGATCCCGCGAAGCGAGCACAACCGTGCTAGCCGCAAGCTGCTGACTGTGCACGGGGTGGGGAATAGTGAAAAACAGCGAGCTTAAGAAAAACATCATGCTACGCTGGGTGCTTGTACAAGTCCGTGCAAGAAGTGCAAAGCATCCTCGAGAGCAATCGCCTCGGCAGTGAAAGACGAGATAGGAGAGGTGAAGAATCTGCCCATAGACCAAAAAGAACCGACATCACTGCTCCCCAGACCTCTCCCGGGATGCGCTCTGACCAGAATGTCGAAGCGAATCCAGCGGTGGCGATGAGGGCCTCCCAGGAGGCCCAGAATGGCAAAAACGAGCGAAGGGTAGAGGTATGGGTACCTTTTCCTCCCCCCCCATCTGGGGCGTCGCGCTGCAGGCCCTCAAGGAGTTCTCCGCTGCTGCGTCGCTGCCGTTCTGCGTCGCCGTCTGCAGGGTTCCACGGGGGTGGCCCTCTGCACCTCGGGCCTTCCCTTAGGTCGGGCGTGTCCTCCTACAGACGGATTTTACCTAACAGCGAAGACTGATAGGTTTCTAGTGGTCTCAAAAGAGAGCATCATGACTCCCCAGGGGGGTCTGGGCAAATGCCGGACGGGTGCCGCGGGAATCCGGGGAGTGCCGCGGGAATCCGGGGACTCCCCAGAACTCTGTCCCAGGCCACATTTTGACTGCCCGGAGCCAACGGAACACCATTCCCAGGGCACATTTTGAACGCCCGGAGCCAACTTTAGGCCACTTCGTGTTCTTCGTGCTCCCAGAACACCATTCCCAGGCCACATTTTGAATGCCCGGAGCCAACTGTAGGCCACTTCGTGTTCTTCGTCTTCCCAGAACACCATTCCCAGGCCACATTTGGAATGCCCGCAGCCAACTGTAGGCCACTTCGTGTTCTTCGTCTTCCCAGAACACAATTCCCAGGCCACATTTTGAATGCCCAGAGCCAACAGTAGGCCACTTCGTGTTCTCCGTGTTCCCAGAACACCAGTCCTGTGCCATATTTTGAATGCCCGAGCTGAGGCAGGCTGAGGCCGAGGCAGGCTGAGGCTGAGGCTGAGGCAGGCTTAGGCTGAGGCAGGCTGAGACTGAGGCTGAGGCAGGCTGAGGCTGAGGCTGAGGCTGATGCAGGCTGAGGCTGAGAGGCTGACGCTGAGGCGGAGGCAGGCTGAGGCTGAGGCTGAGGCCGAGGCAGGCTGAGGCTGAGGCTGAGGCAAGCCGAGGCAGGCTGAGGCTGAGGCTGAAGCTGAGGCAGGCTGAGGCTGAGGCTGAGGCTGTGGCTGAGGCTGAAGCAAGCTGCGGCTGCGCAGGCTGAGGCTGAGGCTGATGCAGGCTGAGGCTGAGGCAGGCTGAGGCTGAGGCTAGCTGAGCTGAGGCTGAGGCTGAGGCTGAGGCAGGCTGAGCTGATGCTGAGGCATTTGGCTGAGACAGGTGAGGCTGAGGCTGGGCAGGGGTTAGGGCGAGGCAGCTGGGCTGAAGCGCGCAGGCCAGGCCGAGACAGGCTGAGGCTGAGACTTCAGGCTGAGGGCTGAGATGAGCCGAGGCAGGCCGAAGCTGAGACAAGGTGAGGCTGATTGGGGGGGGGAAGGGGGGGAGGGGGGGGGGGGGGAGGAGGGGGAGGCTGAGGCAGGCTGAGGCCGAGGCAGGCTGAGGCCGAGGCAGGCTGAGGCTGAGGCTGTGAGGCAGGGAGTGAGGCTGAGGCTGAGGCAGGGCTGAGGCTGAGGCTGAGGCTGAGGCAGGCTGAGGCTGAGGCAGGCTGAGGCTGTAAGCCGAGGCAGGCTTTGAGGCTGAGGCAGGCTGAGGCTGAGGCCGAGGCAGGCTGAGGCTGAGGCTGAGGCAAGCCGAGGCAGGCTGAGGCTGAGGCTGAAACTGAGGCAGGCTGAGGCATCCGTAGGAATACATAGGAATCCTTAGGAATCCCTAGGAATCATTAGGACTCCGTAGGCATCCTTAGGAATCCGTAGGCATAGTTAAGCAGTCTCGGGAATCCTTAGGAATCCTTAGAATTCCTCAGGAATCCTTAGGAATCCCTAGGAATCCCTAGGAATCAGGATTCCTAAGGATTCCGAAGGTTTCCTAAGGATTCCTATGGATTCCTAAGGATGCCTACGGATGCCTTAGAAATCCCTAGGAATCCTTAGGATTCCATTGGATCCTAAGGCCGTTGCCACTGCGACTCTCATTGCGAATTCGACTGCGACTGCGAGAACAGCGGAATTCTACAACTGGATTATCACCTGAATATCAAGGGGAATGCTTCAAAACATGCTTCTACACATCGCTGTTAGGTTGCTTTGCCTGGATAATTGGACGAAAAATAAAAAGCAGTAAAAGAGTACGCCAGAATAGTCGAACATACTTTTAAAAGAATCGTCCCCAGACTGTGTTTTAGCAATGTTTGAATATTCCACATGTAGATGGACGTGCTCGCCTGAAGCCCTCCCTTCCCTTCCCTTCCCTTCCCTTCCCCGCCAGCCGCACCGTACGTCTGTCATCCGTAGTGGGTGACAGCATGCCCGAAGTGCCGCAGTGTGCCATCTCGGTGCCTCTCGTGGCAGCTTTCGCCACTGCGTTTGTGCTCGCCCTGCTTCGTCCTCCATCCCGTCCTGCCCCGTCCGATCCCGTCCAGTCCCGCCCCTTCTGTCTTTTTGTTGGCGCCCAGCCGCGCGGACGCCGAGGGGAGCAGGAGGGCGAGGAGGACGGCGAGGAGGACAAGGAGGACGAGGAGGGCAATGAGGAGGGCGAGTTGGGCGAGGAGGGCGAAGACCAGGAAGAGGAAGGCGAGGAGGGCGAGGAGGGCGAGGAGGGCGAGGAGGACGGCGAGGATCGCGGATCCATCTCCACCTCCATCTCCATCCGCATCCCCATCCCGATCTCCACCCCCATCTCCATCTCCACCTTGCATCTCCGTGTGCAGCTCCGACCCCCCTGTATCTCCATCTCCATTCCCGCTGCCATCCTCATCTGCATCTGCATCTGCATATCCGTTGTCATCCATCGTCATCTGCACCTCCATCCCCGCTCCCATCCCCATCTCCCTCCCCACCTCCACCCCCATCCCCGTCTCAGCCCCTACGGGCGAGGAGGACGCCGCGCCGGCCCCGAGGGAAGCAAGCGCCCGCGCCCCGCACCTCCGACCGCCCTCACCTCCCCGACGCGGCGTCGGCCGCGGGAGCGGTGGGGCGCCCGCCCAGCGGCGCCGCGCCGCCCAGCGGCGGCGTCTTGCTCGGAGGAGGGCCCGTCGAGAGGCCGTGGCGGGCCCTGCACCGGCTTCCCGCCGGGGGGCGCTCCGCGGGGGCGCTCCGCCGGGGGCACTCCGCTGGGGCGCTCCGCGGGGGGCACGCTGCGCCAGGGTCCCTTCGCCAAAGACCGCTGTCTTCCGCGAGGCCGCCGGTGTAGCATCTCTCTGGCTGCGCAGCTGTAAACAGTTTCGCGCGCTTCGCGCGCAAATGATCCGAAATATTGGAAACCGTTTCGCGCGCTTCGCGCGCGCTGGTGATCTTGAATATTGTATGTTTGCTTGCGCGCTTCACGCGCAAAAAATAATCCTAAATGTTGTAAGAAATGTTTGCGCGCTTCGCGCGCACAAAGAAATCATAAATCCGGCGGCCCAACGGGCCAAGGGTGTGCTGAGATCTCCCATGACTGGTTAACAATATTCTAGTTCGAGCGCGCGGGGCCGCCCCTGGGGGTCCCCAAACGAAAAGTACCCCGGCACGGCAAGTCCCGGTAAAGTCCCCCCAAGTCCCAGCAAGGTCCCAGCAAGGTCGCGGGCAGGTCCGGGGTGGGTCCCGGCCAGGTCCCAGCAGGCTCCCGACAGCGTTCCAGGAGCGCTTCAAGTGGCCTCCAAGAGAGCTCAACATGGCCCGAGACGACCCAACAGCGATCCAAGACGCCAAAGATGGCCTCTAGACGGCCCTAAGCGCCTGCAAGACGCCCACAGAGGCCTCCAAAGACCTACCAAGAGGGCCCACAGAGGCAGATATTTGTGATTTTGTTGTAATGTTCAAATGTTTTTGGCGTTCTCGGCTTGGGGGCTTACCAGTCCTCCAAGACGGCTCAAGAGGCTTCCAGGACCGCCCCAGCACAGCCCAAGAGGCCTCCAAGAGCGCCCAAAACGGCCCCAGAGGGCCCCATCACAGCCCCAGAGGCCTCCAAGATGGCCGAAGAGGCTCCCAAGACGGCTCCAAGAGCGGGCCCAGACGGGGGACCCGGACGGGCATTTCGAGCTCTGCGCGCAGAGAGGTCCCATGGAGGCCCCCAAGAAGCCCCCAAAAAGCCCCCCCAAGAGGCCCCCGAGAGTCCCCAAGAGGAATGCCCCCAAGAGGCCCCAAGAGACCTCCACGAGGCCCTCAAGAAGCCCCCGAAAGGCGCCCTGCCGACGACCACACTCAGCCAGTCGACCGCGGTGCGCAATGTGGGCCCGCGGAATAAGCGGAGCGATCAAATATTGTAGGTGCTGTCGCGCGGGAAGCGAGCGGAAAATGATTTGAGTAGCGCGCGGAAGAATTATCTTAAATCTTGTAGTTTGCTTCAGGCGCTTCAGGCGCTTCGCGCGCGGAACATGATCTTCCATCTTGTCATTTGTTTCGGGCGCTTCGCGCGCGATGGTGGCGTAGGGTGGGGTTGGGCTGGGGGGAAGCGAGAACGGGCGGGCCTTCTCAGAAGGCGGCGGGAGTCCCCTGGCCTTCTGAGAAGCTTCCCAGGCATTCCCCGAAGACACAGGCAAGTTCTCAGAAGTGCGCGACGGCTTCTGAGAAGTCCGGCCGCCTTCTGAGAAAGCCTTATCCTTCTCAATTCACCCCCTCGCTCGCCGCCGGAAGGCTCTGGAGTTCTCCATGGCTGGATTGGTGTTGCGCTGCAGAAGGTGGCGCAGGACGCGACCGCGCTGCGTCATCTGGCGCTCTTGCGTCTTGGCGACGGGACAGTCAACGCGCAAGCTGGACTATGCAGTCATCCTCCTCAGCGCGTCCAGCGAGACATGAAGTAGATTGTTTCTCGGGGTTCGTTGCGACGTTCTTCAGCTGCCCGCAGCGAACTTCGACCCAAGATATGCTCGGAACTCGCTGGACGGGGCGAGGAGGATGGCAGCATGTTCCAGCTTGTGCATAGGATGTCCCGTCGCCAAGACGCGGGAGCGCAATATGGCATACCTGGGGGTGGATATTGGGTTGGAGCTGGGGCTGGATCTGGGGTTGGATTCAGTCCCAAATCCGACCCCAAATCCAATCACCAAATCCAAATCCACAAAGTCCTGACCGGACGTCCAACCCCAGATAGAAAGGCCCCGTGATCGCCATGGTACGGTTTGAGATGCTTCAGGAGGGTGTCACATGTCTGATCCCTCCTGCAGGGATTGGGAGGGTGCAGGGTGATTCGTTCAGAGTGTTTCGGCTGCTTTCGTTGTTGCTAGCTGCATGCTTGTAACTTTTTAGGGAGGCACCAACTATACACCAACACCGATCCCGGCCAGGATCAACCTGGGCTCAGGATCGGTGTATACGCCCTCCTGCCATGGGCAGGATGCATATACACCGATCCTGGGCCTACGATCGGCCTGGGCTGGATCGGTGTAGGTGTATAGTTGGTGCCCACCGATGCATGCTTGTAACTTTTCCACCCAGCCGCTCTGGGGGCCCTCCCCGAGCAAGCAGCGCCTCGCGACTCGCTCAAAGTCGAGAGGCTGGTCTCGAGCGGCAGAGCCTGGGCTGCCAGGATGTCTCGAGCCGCGCCGCCAGAGCTGCGAGCATGTCTCGAGCGGCGGCGCGGGCCCCGGGAGGGCCTGGGAGGGCTCTGGACGCGAGGAGGACGAGGACGAGGAGGAGGAGGACGAGGGACGATGACGATGAGGACGAGAAAGAGGAGGACAAGGAGGGCGAGGAGAAGGAGGATGAGGAGGACGAGGAGAAGGAGGACGAGGAGGGCGAGGAGAAAGAGAGAGGACGAGGGACCGAGGAGGAGGGAGGACCCCGTCCTCCCTTCCTCCCTCCAGGAGGCGGGGGGGGAAGAGCCGGGCCGTCGGCAAGACACGTTTTTGTAAAAGACACCCCGCACGCTCCGACACCCTCCCCCCCCCCAGGGCATCCCCGGGATTAGGGCAGGGACCAAGGGGGGTTTGAGGTAGGGCTTCGGAGTTAGGGTTAGGGGTCCCATGCTAGTGCCAGAAAGAGGACCAGATGCCAGTGTTGCTGCTGGTGCTTCTGTCAGTGCTCACCGTACCCCATGTCTTTCCGGGAACGTGGAATTCGGGATGTTGGGTCTTTGGATCTTGAATTGTTGGATATTGGGTCTTTGGATCTTCAATGTTGGGCCATTCGGTCTTAGTTGTTTGGATGTTGGGTCTAGGGGTCGTTCGATATAGTGTCGTGGGTCTTGGGTACTGGCGAACAACGGTCAAATCATACAACAGAAGGAACGGGTTCTTAAATCACACATACGAGGTAGGATACTAATGTAGTATCTAGTCTATGAGCACGGAGCCTGCACAGCACTCTAGTACAAGGGGTAGTTTGTCTACCACGTAAAATACAGCCAAGACCACCTACGATACTCTATATATACTATATGAGATATAGCCAGCAAGCGTAAACATTGTATACTACATAGAGATGCGACACAGTAAGATGTAATATTGGTTAGGCCATGCACGGTATGATATATCAAAACGTACAATGCCAAATATGTATATACTAAACGACAACTGAAATTTGCACCTAGAAGGTACCATGTTGTCTGCTAAACATTACGACAAAGTGTGCAATACGATGATGCAGTCGTACTAAAATGTTCAGGGGGTCACATCGTGAAACACTAGGTATCATGAGATGTCAGATGCGATCTGATCATATACGAGGTAAAACCTAGGTATGTACGTATGTATGATGCCCCGAAATCATACAACGGGGGGCGAGCAAGGCCCAAATCCAAGCGCTCGGGCCAGTGCTGAGACCACCCCTATGGGCCCGCATTGAAGGTCACTCTGGCGAAAAGGCACTCTTGCGCGTGGCCAGAAACCGGGCGTCACACTTTGTTCCGCACCAGGCGCTTCGCCTAACTTCGGGCCCGATCCGGCAGAAAAATGCAGCGGAAAGATGGAATCTAGGGTTCTGGTCGTGACTCTCGCGATGCTGCAATTTTGTCGCAACCTCGGATTCCAAGGACCCTAGAGGCTTCTCGTCGCCACGGCTAGATTCGCCACGGACATCGGGATGGACCCCAGGAGGGGCCTGGGCACCGATTTTGACCAAATCTGGGCCGGGTGAATGAAAGCTGTTGTCTCAACTGGCCCTCCTCCGAGTCTTGGCAGCGAGCCGCCTCCTCTTGCTCTCGGACCACTCGTTGAAGAAGGCGTCGAACTTCAAGTCCTTCTGCTCGAACGACGCCGACTTCGGCGCGTCGTCGTCGCTGTCCTCCTTCTCGCCGGGCTGTCTCCTGGGCCGCCCAGGCCTCTTCATGGTGGGGCAGTGGCCACCAGCGAGGCCTGGCCTGATCCAGCCACATGTGCGCGGCTGATCGGGCTTGTAGCTCGGCTTCATGTTCTGCTGACGGAACTTCTCCTCCACGATGAAGCCCCCTTCCTTGAAGCGGCACAGGTGCTTCGAGCTCCCGAACGTCATGTCGATGACGTCGGGGTCAGCGTCCACGACCTTCCACGAGCCCTCGCACCAGCCGGTAAGCAGGACGCCGTTATCCTTCAGCTCCACCCAACCATTCTTCTTCTGGCCATCGTGCGCCCATGCGAACACGGTAAGATGAAGAAAAAGGGCATAAACAGGAACTTTCCGTCCGCGCGCATTTCTTGCATCTGCGAAGGACCACCCTCCCTGGCGCGCGGCGCCAGCGATGCCGCAAGGGGGATTCCAGCGCCAATCTAAGAAATCCGCGCGGAGCCTCGACTGTCTATGGTTATGCCGATGTTTCCTCTTCGGATGGTGCAGTCAGCCTCCTTGCACATCGCCGCCCATTTCGGGGCACTCGCCAGCAAATCCGCCACCGTCGGCATCGCCCCCGCCCCCAGCACTCGGCCTGGCGCCGAGGGGGGCCCACGGGGGCTCAGGCGCGGCAAGCCCGGGCCGAGACTTGAGCGGGCGCTTCGTCGCCTGTGGCCGAGCCAGGGTGAATCGCCGTGGCCACGCAGAGGTTTTAATGGGTTGATGGACGTTGGGTGGATGGATGTTGGATGGGTGAATCGATGTTGGTTGGATGGATGAATGTTGGGAGGAGGGATTGATGTATGTTGGATGACTGAATGTTGGATCGATGGATGGATGCAATGGCCGCGCCAACCC